TCAATTGCCTTTCAATCGATCGGTGTTTGCATTTGACAGGTGAACTTTGTTTCATTTATATACAGGATGTTTGTTGCCTTGCACCGGAAGAGGTATTTTGAGCCTGCGGGGGTCTCTGTGTTCTCCAGGTCGATCCGGTCAAAAAATGGGTCTTCCCAATTGGGCTACTTCTTCAATGTTGCCATGAAGACTGCATTCACCTTTGCCTGGCGGATCAGAGGTCTTTGACACTGATGGATCTTCCTCGCTTGCGGCTCTCCACCATGTCGGGGGGACCTGGCTGCTGGGAACTGCTGGAGAAGCCTTGGATGGCTAAGAACTGAAAGTTGTTGGTGGACACAGTTCCGTACCACCTAATGACAATGCAGCAAGAAACCCTTTGCTCCTGGCAGTGCAGAATCTTTCCTATCAACAAGGTTCCACTGACAATTCACAACGTGTCATTTTACAGAGTTGATTTATTTACATGTTTCAGTCGTTGCATGTTCCAGTGGGCATTCTTGTGCACCCTGTGATCGAGACAGGTGGGAAGCCGGGATGCGCTGGGCATTGGGTTTTCTTTTCCATAGGATTGCACTATCACGGCAGTCCCGAGTCATTGTGTTGAAGGTGGGCGGGCTTGATGTCAGAATGCGACCGGCAGAAGGTGGCAGGCGTATTTCTTGCAACAAGTGTGTCCCTGGCGTCCCTGCCCGTTGCACTGGTTCAAGACACCTTTGACTCAGACGTGCGACTGTAGCTTGCCAGGGTCGCAGGCACGTGGATGCACTTTGTGAAGAGATCACTTTCCATGTGCTGAGAAAGCTGCATAAACAGAAGACCATATTTTGATGTCCATGGAACTGAATTGAACTGAATTGCAGCAATGGACTTGGGGTGACCAGCAGTAGTTTGTTTGCCCTGAGTGTCCTCAATGCCCTTTGAACAAGTTGTCTTTCTGATGAGTCGAACAGTCGAACAGTTGTGGGAAGAGAGAGCGAGCTATTTCTGATCTTGACAAATGTGCCAGGATGGCTGGGGGTTACGACCGTGCCATCACCGTTTTCTCGCCAGATGGCCATTTGTTTCAGGTGGAGTATGCCCTTGAGGCAGGGGAATTTCGAGTGTTTTCAGTAGAAACGAACCCTGCTCCTATGTCACATCTATGCTGCCTTTTCTTATGATCAGGGGCCTGTTGGCGGGTGGGGGGCAGAATTCCTCCCTGAACAGAGTTTACTGCAAGTGTGTGGTGAGCACATGCAAGTGGGACTGTTTTTGTTGCTTCCACTTTTTCGAGGCTTTGTAACACTAACGCGGTGTGCATCAAAGGAACTGTGGGAGTCACCAAACGACAGGCGTGATTGGCCCTGTGCAAGCGTTGTCCTTGTCACCTTGATGACCTTGACGCTCAGTCTTTGGACCTACCAGGCTGTCAGGAAGGGCACCACCACGGTTGGCGTCAAGGGCAAAGACTGTGCCTGGGCGACAATAATTCTGCACTTCCCTGCCAGCCACGGCGTCCAAAAGACCTGGTTCAGACCTGATCTAAGGCTCAGATACAAAGTCTCACCCAAACTCCATTGCCAAGATGAATCTATTATTGCAAAGCCACCCTAGACTTTGACAACTCATAGTTCATTCAGCAAGCTTCCCCCAAATCCCAGATGTTTATATCCTGTGTCTTATCCAGTTGAGCTTCTTGGTGACCATCTCCAGCTTATCCTCAGGCGGTACTGTATATCTTGAGTTTGTTTTCCCATCCTTATCTTTTTCCCCAACAGCGGAAGCTTGGGGTCTCAGCCAAACTAGGCACTGGGGCACTGTGGGGCAGTCATCCGGTGAGGTTCCCTGAGGTTCCGAGTGAAGGTTCCGAGGTTCCAAGTAAAGGTTTCCAGTCAAGGTTCCGAAGGTTCCAAGTGAGGGTTCCAAGGTTCCAAGTGAAGGTTCCGAGTGAAGGCTCCGAAGGTTCCGAGGTGAAGGTTCCGTGTCAAGTGTCTAAATAGTTCCAAGTAAAGGTTCGAAGTGAAGGTTCCAAAGGTTCCGAGGTTAAGGTTCCGTGTCAAGTGTCCAAAAAGTGCCAAGTTTAAGGGTCCAGCCCCGAGCGAAGGCCCTGAAGGCCCCGAGGGGTCAAGTGTCCAACAAGTTCCAAGTAAAGGTTCCAAGTGAAGGTTCCGAAGGTTCCGAGGTTCTAAGCGAAGATTCCGTGTCAATTGTCCAAAGAGTTTCAAGTCAAGGTTCCAAGTGAAGGTTCCGAAGGTTCCAAGTCAGGGTTCCGAGGTTCCAAGTGAAGGTTCCGAAGGTTCCAAGTGAGGGTTCCGAGGTTCCGAGTGAAGGCTCCGAAGGTTCCGAGGTTAAGGTTCCGTGTCAAGTGTCTGAAAAGTTCCAAGTAAACGTTCCAAGTGAAGGTTCTGCAGGTTCCGAGGTTCCAAGAGAAGGTTCCGTGTCAAGTGTCCAAAGAG